GTTTTTATGAACATTGTTAAGGTTTTCGTGTGCTAAGAACTATGGGTAAATGTACCAGTCGCCATCTTTTTTCCTACGGAGGATCGGTGTTCTCAGTAAAGACTTGTGACTTAGCCTCAATTGCAAGCTAGCTCCAGTTGATACTGAGAATATGAAAAGGGTCTGTTGAGAAATACACTGTACAGGAAAACCTTTTACCTTTGAATACAAATGTGGTGGCATTTGAGTTCAGGAGTAGTTGATTGAGGGGTCTGACTGTGTGATCTTTGATTTATATCTCACTATTTGTTTCCTGCTTCAAGCATCAGGGTCCAATAACCCTCATCACAGATAACATGCCAGCTACCTTCCCAGACTTCCCAATCAATCGTCGAGCACAGGTGGCCTTAGAATTATACACCACAGAACGGAGTTATGTCAGGGGTCTGGAAACCATCTTAGAGGTCAGGCATGTTGATACAACAACTCATGCAAGTTTGTTGAAACCTTTTAGCTTCAAGCTAAAAACATTTTTTAATATCATCCATTCTCTGAGAGACAGACCTTCCTTTTCAAGTTTAAAGTTGATAATTTCTTATTACTTTTTCTTCACTCTAATCACCTGCCTGGTTACCAGCTGATATAATGCTCTACATCCAGTTGACCCGAATTATACAAAAATAGCATCCAGTAAATAAACAATATTAAGAATTTTGCACCAACTTGAAGTGGTGACGTCTTCCTGGACTAAAAACAAAAAACAAGGCATGGTGTAAAGAAATTCATGAAGTTAGTATATTACTAACAGATATGTTTTCAAGATATCCAAATTAAATTTACACAAGTGACTGGACAAGTAAATTTGTGTGAATCCTATATAAAAACCTTAATGAAAGAATTATTGTTATCAAAGGTTGTAGTGAGACTCAAAAAAGTCATGCATGTTCTTGGCAAAGATAACTTAATATAATTATATTTTATTTACATGTACTGATTTTGTGGTTGCTTTTTAGTTGTTCAAGAAACCTTGTGAAGAAAACAAGTTGCTGGACAAGAAGGAAAGTCATACAATGTTCAGTAATATTCAAGAGTAAGTACTATGTCTAACTTATAATTTGCAGGACCCTTGGTCACTTCACATCCACACGGCCATAGGCTGCCCTTATTTTAATTTGGTTAAGCCTGTTTTTCAATAGCAGTGAAGTACAAGGAAATTCACAAGCTAAGAGATTTGTGAAAACAAATGCTTATAGAATCCCTTGTGTTACATGTATGTTTGAGCTGTGTTTTATAACCTCGCCCAGAACATTAAAAGCACAAGCATGCATGTAAGCAGACACATGAGGAAAAGGGAAAAAATTCTGACTTGATCTTTGTGCTTTGCTCAATATGCAGCTTGCATCAAGTCTGTTTTCACAGTTTAGTCAGGGTTCTTCAGTCTGATTGCACTTGCTATGATTACACGCACTCTTGAATGTAGTTGTTTTGGCTTTATTTTGGTTGATAAGTTTTCCTTTTGTCTAATCTCTTAACATTAGCATCTTCCTTGTCAACAAAGATGTTTTGTTCATGCTTCTTGAACGAGTCAGTCACTGGCATGACCAGCAATGTTTGGGAGACATTTTTGCAGACCAAGTGAGTGTCAAGTCATTGTACACCTCAAATGTTTTTAGTTCTGCCAGTTTTTTTTTGTTAAACGAGGCACTGTATAAAAATGAAAAATATGACAGGAGATAATGTGTTGTTTCAGAATTGGTACCTGTTAGGGTGAAAAACATTTCCAGTCACACTCACAAAACAGGATCTTGGTATCTCTGAAGGGTTCTTTTGAAAATTTCTGCCAAGCGCCCCTGTCCTTTTTATTTGGTAGTCTCCCCTGGGCTATAAAGCCACTGAATTATGGCTGTGAAGATATATTATGCATTATGTTATTTCTGTTTATTTTAATTTGTGACCTTCCAGTCTTTCAAGATCATTGACAAAATGAAGATCTATGCCAAGTATTGTAACAACTACGATTCAGCTGAGGCACTTTACAAGCAGAAGATCAAGAAGAAGGAGTTTGAATCTTTTATTAATGTTAGTACATGTGTTTATTTAATATATGTTACTGTCAATTAAAATTAATGGGGAATTACCAGGGCATTGTTTTTTAAATAATGACTGTTTAAAATGCCTTAACCTGTCAGTGGGAGGATTTAACACTTGAAAATAATTATTTTTTAACAGTCATGAAATATGTTAACCTTAAAGTAATAAATAAATAGGTTTAATGAAAATATCATGATTTATTTTCATTAGACTTGCTATGAACACCAAGTTTGTCAACCAGGACTTAATCTGCCAGCCTATCTAATCACAGTTGTACAGAGAATTCCACGGTATCTTCTTCTTCTAGAGGTATATAGTATCTCAGTAAATTGATTTCACATCATATCAAATTTATGTATTCACTTGAACAACATGACCATTAGATAACAACATGGGTGACTTCTTTTCAGGATTTTTTCAAAAGGACACCTGAAAATCATCCTGACCATGGCAATCTGAGCAAGGCTTTGACAAGAATGGTAACTACACAGTTACAGAGTGTATTTTTGCTTCTACCACATATAGCTAAATTCAGTGAAAACCATCAACTTTTAATAAATCATACCATCTTGTTTTCTCGTGTTTGCATAGACTAATCTGGCTGTGTACATTAACAACCAGCTGCAAACAACAGTTGGTCAAAAAGCAATGGTAGACTTGAGGTCAAGAGTTGAGGGTTTGAAGGTGAGAAATGCAACTGTAAAAATTTCAGATATTTCATTTGCGACAAAGTAGCCAGAATGGGTTATATGTACTGTAATGAATTATTAGACATTGAAGTTTTAATCTCTATTTTGTGAGCCCCAGGTTGCATCAGATATTTTGCCACCTTACCTAGGGAAGTCACATAGTTACAAAAAAAATTTTCCATTTTGAGCATAGATTCCACTTCAAAATACAGAAAAATTAAGATAATGGTGCACAATGTTGATGTGCAAAATACACAAAAATTCACAGATTGTTAGAACACGAAAATTAATATTAGCCTATAACTAGGGACTGATAATTAAAAATAAAGGAATATTTGAAGTCAAAAATGATTTGAAAAAGTGGTGTAAACACAAAACTTTTAGCAACAAATGTAATGCTCATTTAGTGGTCAGACTTACATGTCATAACCCACTTTCAATATATTAAAATTCAGCTTAATAGTGAGGCCTAGAGGACACTAACAATAACAATGACTAAACATGGTCATTTAATTTCCTTAATTTTGTTTGTGTCCTCCAGGCCTCACTGCCGAGCTGAGTTTTAATATATCGATTTCACTCCCAACCTAATGTACGTCATATATATTCAAACCTTGAATAAAATTAATTTTGAATTCATTTTTTTGTGATATCTAGAATAATGTTGGTCTTAGTTAAGTGTTATCAGCCTTAAGCCTTACATGTAGGCTTCAGCTGATAACACTTTTAAAACCTCACTGTTTATTATTCGGTGTATTCTGGATATTGTTCATTTATGTGACTGTGTATTTTATTGACAGGCATTTGAAGTGCCAGGGCGTGCCCTCATCAAAGAAGCTGATGTGGTGCTGGCCGGCAGCAGGAAGACTCGTAAGGTACTCGAGTACTGACAGAATTACAAAATACAAGTTACATGTTGACATTGTGTTGCAGTTCTCCTTGCATGTCTCTATATATTTTTATCATATAAACATAAGTGTTTTGCTGGAAAATGCATTACTTATAAATTTCATATGAAACAACATCTGGGACGTGAGTGGCATACTCGCCATATCCTCACTAGTGAAGATATTGATGATGTCATTCCCTGCTTTCATGGTTGTTTGTGCCTACAGTCACTTTGTCTAGATATGTTAAAAAGAAGATTACATTGAGGGTTGAAGGTATAATATATAATTATATTTTCTAGTATATTTTACCACTGAAACTTAGTTTAATCCATATTGCCACTTTGCTGCATAATATCCTCTATCTATCATGCTTTGCTGGAAGAATTAAGCAATACATTTAAAAGTTAGAATGATCAATAACATGTCCCTGTTCACATTTTGTCCACTCAGTGCTTGCTGTTTAATGACATGCTGGTGTTTGCGATAAAAGGTGTAAGTAAGACCAGTGAAGTAGAACAAACTCTTGAGCTGGTAACGCTGTGGTGCATGGATCTAGAAGGCAACAATCCACAATCAGGTTTGCCTCTGCAAGCTAATATTGTACCTTGCTTAATGGTAGTAAATTCTGATATTCTTTTTCAAAGTGTGTGACCACTAAAGTACTAGTGAGATGAAAGAGGTAAATTAAATGTCAAAATTATTTGAATATTTGATAATCATTGGCTTATGTCTAATATCTATTGATAACAGCTTGATAAACTCATATGTAAGATTAGATTTAGCTCTAATTAACCGAGCAGGAGGTCTGTATGGGAGAATCTTGACCGAGGTCGTGAGTACTGACCGAACACAGTGAGGTCTGTACACACAACCAAGGTCAAGATTCTCCCATACAGACCAACTAAGCTCGATTAATAAGATGTTTATTAAATGGTGCAAACAAGAACAATTTAATTTGTTTAATGTGAGTGGTTTGTACTAACTGATAGTTTGCTTGCGAATGGCAATCAGCTGAATTTAATTCTGCCAAAGTTTGCTCGTCCTCTTTACTTTTTTCGTGTCATCAGGCTTTTTGGCACTTCTTTAAATAAATATTGTTGGATTAAAATAGTCAATGATTTTGCATTTTAGTTTGCAACTTTTTCACTGTAAAACATTACCATTCTAGGTGCTAGTCTAGATGGTAAAATCTAGACCACTTTCAATATCGATTTCAGCCAATCAAATTTGTGAATTTAGTAGTTTCCAGTCCTTGTGAGACAGAGCCGTGTAATAAAGAATCATATTACTCTCTCTCGGCCCAAGTTGAGAATTTCAGTTTTTTGTTTTGCTTGTTGATAAGGAAGAGTTAATAACCAGTTACAAAGTGTTTTTCAGTATGGCATAGGTCACACTAGAGCAAATCTTTTTTTGGTCATTCCGAAGACCCAAATATGGCACTGACCATTTTTTTTTTCGGTTTTGTTTTTGGGTCGCACATGAAGCTACAGAACAAGGCTAAATTCTTGTGTTAACACTTATAAAATGCTTTTGTAAACAATGATGAAATGTTTTGTTTTTTGGTCCTGCCATATCTGTACATCATTTTCCTTAAATAAACATGTAGTTGACATGTTTAATGAACTTTTGCTTTCTTTGGGCAGTTTTGGAAAAATCTGCCTGCCCCACCCATACACTTCGGTGTCTTTGATCTTTTTGGGCCAATGACAGTTTCTTCAAGAATTTGCTCATAGGGGTCGCAAACAGAATTCGCTCTAGTACAACCCATGCCTTAGATAGCATCTGATCATTGTAAGATTTATTTAGAAGATCACTGTGCACACTATTTACTAGCTTACAACATCAGTCATCTACACTACGCTGTAGAAATGTATTGATGAGATCTATTTTCAGAAATTTGAAGTATTATTCGGGCATCAGCTTTAATATATTAAGTAAATCTGATTCTGGTTGTATTAAATGTAGTGTGGCACTGATTTTACAGGCCGGGATACCGTAAATGGAACACAAAATGGCAACTAATGAGAAGATAACCCATTGCTTACTGAAACTACAATATTTATGTTAAAACCCAAATAAATTAATATATGTCTAATGTTACCTTAATACTTAAAGTGCACAGTATACTTAAAGAAAATGTGTTTCCTTAGCAAAAGAAGACTCTCTGGAGATCTATACCCCTGAGCAGTCTTACATTCTGGATGCTGGAACAAAAACAGAGAAAAAAACCTGGCTGCAGAAGTTACGGACGAGAATTGCCATGGCATTACATGGAGCGGAAGCAACAGAGAAAAATGAGATTGGTAATAATGAAAAGCCTAGCCTGGGTTGTTTGAAAGGAGTATAAGGCTANGTATTGTGTTTGAAACTTAGCTTAGGCTTTCTTGTCAGGGTCTGTGGGAAGATGATGAACGCAATGGATGGGGTGAATTGACATACAACAGTGGAGACAAGTACAGAGGAGAATGGCTTGATGACAAACAGCGTAGGTTGAATTTTGTTTATATATTTAACATGGTTTAAAAATAAGTACCCAGCACCATCACTTTGATATAAATTATTTAAATTAGGCTTTTAGGCATCTTGCACTGACCTCATACAATAGACATATTTTTCCTTTCATGGATGTATGTAAAGAAAGCAGAAGCTGTACATGTCTTTAGAAGTAATTAGTTAGTAGACAACTTTACAATTCAGTTTTTGATATACAGCTGTATCAGGTATGTAGAGCAAAACTTTAAAAGGACATTTATCTTCCACAAACATCTCTTTGCACATGTTCAACCCTCTTCTCCATGATGTTGCACTGCTGTGTGACTTTGAAATAACAAACTAAGTTGTATCAAAGCTATTGATGAACAAACAAACTTTTAAAATTAGCATTTTTGAAAGCACTGCAGAGCGTTATCGTGTAGGTGTTGAACAATCATCTTTGTTTTATGATGCTGTCACCATGGAAATGAGCAAACTACTCATAGCTTGGCGTACAGTGGGAGAACATCCACTCTCCGGAGGCCAGTGCCTTGGTGGTTGCGGCTGCCAGCCACCATGTTCTTCTCAGCTCTCAGGGACTTGTTTGTACCCAAAAAGTTGCGCTGGCTGCGTGCCTAGCCCTGNTTTTAGGCATCTTGTACTGACCTCATACAATAGACATATTTTTCCTTTCATGGATGTATGTAAAGAAAGCAGAAGCTGTACATGTCTTTAGAAGTAATTAGTTAATATACAACTTTACAATTCAGTTTTTGATATACAGCTGTATCAGGTATGTAGAGCAAAACTTTAAAAGGACATGATATTTATCTTCCACACACATCTCTTTGCACGTGTTCAACCCTCTCCTCCATGATGTTGCACTGCTGTGTGGCTTTGAAATAACAAACTAAGTTGTATCAAAGCTATCGATGAACAAACATTAAATTAACATTTTTGAAAGCACTGCAGAGCGTTATCGTGTAGGTGTTGAACAATCATCTTTGTTTTATGATGCTGTCACCATGGAAATGAGCAAACTACTCATAGCTTGGCGTACAGTGGGAGAACATCCACTCTCCGGAGGCCAGTGTCTTGGTGGTTGTGGTTGCCAGCCACCATGTTCTTCTCAGCTCTCAGGGGCTTGTTTGTACCCTAAAAGGTTGCGATCTAGTTTGGTTCCTGCATTGCTGTGTGTTCTACGTGGTTACGCTGGCTGCATGCTTAGCCCTGTTCTTTTTTCGTGGGTGCTTCGGACAGGCAAAGGGCTGCACTAACCAGGATTTTAATATCGAGGTTGTAATGGACTTTTTCTATCAAAATAACTACTGTAACAGTTTTATTTTCCTCTTGCTACAGATGGTGTTGGCACAATGGAGTACACCAGTGGTGATGTTTACCATGGGCAGTGGCACATAGGTGATATACATGGCCAGGTAATTATTGAATTTATCTTCATAGACTGATGCACCTGTTGTTTGTTGAATTGGGATTTGAATCTTGTACCCTTTGGAGTTGGGTCTCCTTTGGTTATGAATGTGTTATTTCCAAAACGTTAAACAAGTTAAGTTTAAGGTCATGTGAAAGGTTAGTGTTAATTGTTTTTGTAGTCTTGTTTGGAAACATTTTTTTTTTTAAATAACCTTGTAAATGTTTTAGATTGTTATTGTGTTGGTGAATTGTTTTTTCTGTTTTTTGGAGATGATTTTATTAGCAAAACTTTGAATTGAAAACGTTTGTAAACACTGCTTTGAAATTACTTGTTCGGTGAGAGATGCTAATCTAGTGTACAGTGTAGACTTAAAATGTTCAAAGTTGTGAACAAATTACGTTGCAAAACTTGCTTTTCTTTTTATTATATCTTTTTAGGGTGGGATTACCTATAAAAATGGTGACCGATTTACGGGAGAATTTTGTCACAATGAAATCGAGGGGATTGGTGAATTACGTTGTGTTAGTGGGCTGACATACAAAGGACAGTGGAAACATAGCAAGGTGAGNCGACTTTGCGAAGGTGACGTTTTTAGCGTTAGCCCTTCCGCTTGAAGCTTTAGCTTCACTATTCGCTAAGGCAGTTAATTTACCATTATCAACTTAAAGTTTACACATAGTGGCTAAGTACAAATTTACTGTCCTTAAAAACAACTGCATAAAATCATTAACCATGCACACATTATTAAACTTTGCACTATCCTTTCGAGTCTGAGTTTTTGTACTTGATTGTTTGTAACTAGTGGTCAATTTGCTAATGACCGAATAAGTGGACAAGGAGAAATGCAGTATGCTGATGGTTCTGTTTACAAAGGACGGTGGGTGGACAATCAGGTGTGTGGTCAACATCTTAAATCTCCTTACTCAGCCTGAATTTGGATATTTCAACCCCCAGCTGGGATCAGCTGTAAGATCAGAATTCTCTACACACTACCATACAAATGAAATTAGAAAAAATTGTTTCAGTAGTACTTTAAATGTAGCAGATTTTGCTGAAACTTCGTAACTACGGCTGTTATGTCAAGAACAATTGTCCTTTTGCTTTCATCTTTGGGGACAGCGATGCAAAACAAATTTCGCATTGAGAATGAATATCTGTTCGCCACAATTTTCACGCCCTGTACTGTACATGTAAGATGAAGATTTGTATTAGTGATCGAGGGAAATCTCTTATGTGTTGGAGAGTGATTGAATTGTAAATTTTTATTCAGAGCGGTTTTTAATTGAGTATCGAAAGCAATCAGGCATATACTTTGGTTTTCGTTTTGAGATTGGCTGAGTTGTCTAATTGTCAAGTGATTGGTTTGGTTTTACAACACTCGATTGAAAACCGCTCTATTTATTTATTTATTTATTTGTTCATTTATTTATTTATTTATTTTATTTATTTATTTATTTACTTTTTGGACTTAGCGGGGTGGTTTTGGCGAGTTTAGTAGTTCAGATGGCACTCATTACGTTGGAGGTTGGAGTGGGGATCATATAACTGGCAAAGGATGTATGACTTACTCTAACGGCGACTGTTACGATGGCAACTGGTTCAAGAACACAGTAAGTACACTTACTTGATGTTCTTGTGCTTAGCTCTTAAATGCCAGATTTTATTTGCGAACCAATCGAGCTGCGAAAGTCGAAAAATGCCCGCGTCGCTCCAAACCCGAGTGTGAATAGCGCGAGCAAGAGAAGCTACATGTAACCCTTTGGGGCAGCACTGCTTAGACCCAAACAAACGTTGCAAATACAAACACCAATCCAGAACTGGGAGGATGCTGACCAGTT